AGTTTGAGGAGTAAGTTATGAGGCAGTATAAGCCAATGATGAAAGGTGTTTATAGACAGTGAGAAGAATGAACTAACTTAACTCTCAAGGTACAGAATCTATTACTGAACAGCAATAGTTTATTACCAAACTGACACAAGTAGGGTGTCCCTCACTTAACAAAGGGGTGAGGTTCTTGAAAACCATTCATTAATTTAATTTTTGTATCTTGAATAACAGAACATATGGGAAAATAAGGTGCACTTACCAATGAAAAACTCTACCTAACTAGTGATAAACTACTGTACTGTAATTTACCAACTAACACACTAAAAACATTAATAAAATTCTGTATTACCTAGATGAAAATATGACCTAAACCATTCAGGAAAAGCTAAATGGAAGTTTAACACAACCATCATATACTGGCTGTGTGGCCTCAAGCCTCACCATAGTAGCTGGCTCCCACACCCTGCTCTCCCCTCCTGTTCTCTCACATACAGAAATGTTTAGTGTTTATGTTGTTGACTTATGATAGTTATTATTAGTATTAGTTTAACATTCTGTTGGTAGGATTGTGTGTGCATGTAACTGAGTAAAATCAAATAATAAAGTTGTGTTTATATTCCCCAAATAATGAGTTGATAAATAACCATCACATAACTGCCACCTGGTAGGGGGAGGTGGCCGCCTCACCTGACTCTCAGGGCCGCCTCACCTGAATTTTTGCCAAGACCCAAATTTATATAAGTGAGGGAAGCTTTTGTGACACAAAAAATAGGTTTTAATTTAGGAAATTCGTGTAATCAATTTTTTGTATCACAAATGTACATTAAGTGAGGAAGTGCTATACTGTACTGTACTGTACTTGGGTTCATTACATACTTTCCTTGGACACACACTCATGATAATCCTGTATTCAGTGTACATAATTTTGTAATAGGATTTTTCATTTGTTAATTGAATAATGGGACAAACTTAAGTTTTTTCTTCATAACTTGAGATTTTGGTAGACTGTGGATTGTGTGTAGTTGGTAGAGTATTTGTGTTATATATTATGTGGAGAAGTTACCAAGTACTGTACTATACAGAAATGATGAAGTGTTTAATGTATTGCAGGAGGTTTACTGTGATGCCACCATAGCCTGTGATGGACGGTTCTATCCTGTTCACAGGCTGGTTCTCTCCACCTGCAGTGAATACTTTGAACGTATGTTTGAAGTGGCAGACAAGCAACACCTCATGATCGTGTTGGCAGATATACAACGTGAAGACTTAGAGACCCTCTTGGACTACATGTATATAGGCGAGGTCAACGTCTTACAGAGCGATCTGTCGGGGTTCATGAAGGCTGCCGAGCGCCTCAAGATCAAAGGCTTGGCAGAACCTACAGACACAATTACCAGAAAGGAAGGTGTCGACGGCAAGAGGAGCCTCCCGCAGAAGGAGGACAACTGGGAGGTGAAGCGCAGGAGAGAAAACAAAACTAAAGAGGAAGAAAAAGTTTGCCATGTGATCCAGGAAGAAGGTAAAACATATAATAAATCACAGGATGAAGCAACCAGTGTATCAGTTAGTAGAGGTGAGGGTGTGACAGTACCTTCCTCTAACATGGGCGGCAGTCAACAGCAGTACAGTGGTGATGACAACACAGCCACCACTTATGACCTTGATATATCTAAGGTGAGCCACAGTCAGTGTGTAGGGTTTATATCAGGTCCATACAGTACAGTATAATGGTTCATGCAGCTCGTTAACTCAGGGTGTGGTTGTTGTGTTGGCGACAGCTTGCACACCTAAAACACTGGGTCATGCAGCTCGTTAACTCAGGGTGTGGTTGTTGTGTTGGCGACAGCTTGCACACCTAAAACACTGGGTCATGCAGGTCGTTAACTCAGGGCGTGGTTGTTGTGTTGGCGACAGCTTGTACACCTTAAACACTGGTTCATGCAGCTCATTAACTCAGGGTGTGGTTGTTGTGTTGGCGACAGCTTGTACACCTTAAACACTGGGTCATGCAGCTCGTTAACTCGGGGCGTGGTTGTTGTGTTGGCACAGCTTGTACCCCTTAAACACTGGGTCATGCAGCTCATTAACTCAGGGCGTGGTTGTTGTGTTGGACAGCTTGTACACCTAAACACTGGGTCATGCAGGTCGTTAACTCAGGGCGTGGTTGTGTTGGCAGCTTGTACACCTTAAACACTGGGTCATGCAGCCGTTAACTCAGGGTGGTTGTTGTGTTGGCGACAGCTTGTGCACCTTAAACACTGGGTCATGCAGCTCGTTAACTCGGGGTGTGGTTGTTGTGTTGGCGACAGCTTGTACACCTTAAACACTGGGTCATGCAGCTCGTTAACTCAGGGCGTGGTTGTTGTGTTGGCGACAGCTTGTACACCTTAAACACTGGGTCATGCAGGTCGTTAACTCAGGGCGTGGTTGTTGTGTTGGCGACAGCTTGTACACCTTAAACAAATTCACGGTAGGTGGCCCTAGGACCGGCCATTCTCGTTACGCGAGGGGCAACCATTTTTATTATTTATTGATCATGTCAAGATGGAGCAGCCTGTACTGTATCCCTGACTCCATAAGGATATCAATGTTATGACAATAATCTGAGAAGGAAGAACTGTGTTTACTGTTCCACTCTTGTTCAGCATCACAAGGACCACCACTTGATCTAGGGACACACACACACACACACACACACACACACACACACACACACACACACACACACACACACACACACACACACACACACACACACACACACACACACCTTGGTCTGACACAACAGGTTGCTACCATAATACTCTACTCCAAGAGCATTAGGGTCAAACCTGGAACAAACTGACAAAAAGATTAAAATTTTGGGAACGACTCGTAAAAGTGTAATAAATAACACATTAAAATTTCCCAAATATCTTCCTTGTGCTAACTCAGGAATTTCAAGATGGCTGCCATTCTACTGTGTATCATATAATTATTTGCAACTACACATGATAGAAATATGAACAAAATGTCTGTACATAAGTTTTCAGATATGACCAATCCTTTAAAACCATTAATAAAAGGATAAAACAAAAAAGAAAATGGCTTCCATATTGTGTCATATATTTGTAACTACAGCAGACTTGATAGTAAAGGATTTCCCATCTATTCCTGAACTGTGAGATAAGTACAGTACAGATGGTGGAGGTAGACTTAGCTCAAGTGATCAACCTTGGGAACTCCTACCAATTTTCCTTTTGTAAACTATTCTGTGTGGCGGTATTCATCGAGTGACTTAAGTTTGTCAGCCCCATAGAGGTTGAGAATGAAGCTTCCTCCTGCACTCTCCACTTTATCATGTGTGCTTCCAGTCTCTATAAATGTGTCCATTAGGTTCCTCAAGTGACCTCTGGTGATGTAGCCAGATGTCTCCAGTAAGACACACACGAGAGCTGCTGAGGTAAGGGTGTCGGCAGGATGTGAGGAAACACGACCCGTTAACGTGTGTACAACTGATCCTTTTGTATACTCTACGCCATTTCCCAGGGCTCTGCTAGGCCACTTACCGTCATAATCTAGCCAGTTTTATAGAGGATTAGACCTCAGAAGATGTAATATACCAAGACTCACAATGACCTTGTCTACATCTTGTGCAGCAGCTACTGTTCCAGGCTGGTCACATGTAACTGGGCATATTTTCAGACCATGTTTTTCGAACTGTGTTTGTGCAAAGATTAATGCTGTGTGGATACTGCTTGAGTTGGTGGAGTTGAGAGTGATGAAGGAAGGGACTTTGTATTGTTTCTTTCATACTGGTCACTCCTCATGGCCACTTTCATACTGGTCACTCCTCATGGCCACTTTCATACTGGTCACTCCTCATGGCCACCAACAAGGAGGCATAACTCACTCCCTGCCACCAAATATACTCCAAGGGAGAGTATAAGATGTATAAGACCACCATATTACTGTGTCTTAGGCCTTGTCTATCTAGCACAGGAGTGGTGATAGTTGCCACCACTAACTACAAGAGGTATAATACTTGTTTACTGGTTCATGCACTGCAGTACCTGTACAGTGTGAAGCATATATCCATCTTTAATCCCTATGTGGTTTTCATATAATAAACCAAGATGCTGTACCTCCCTCTGATTACCGATAAGTTAATTTGTTTGTTTATTTTGGCTGGAAAAGTTTGATAATGATGTCTAAAATCATGTGAAATGGTTGGAAAGTGGCAACTCAAGTCTCGTGTTGGCTGAATCATAAGAACTGTTGTGTAGCGTCTCTGTTACCGTGGGAACCAGCCCCGGCATTTTAAATCCAACATTGCCGTGATCTCTGCATGACCTGGGAGACATATCTCTCTTATATTATTTTTACCTCTTTATTTTGTTGTTTCCACCTCCTTTTATATTAGACTGATGATTATATAATACTAGATAGGTAGGTGAATAGAAAAATGGAATTCAAACAAAAATTTTTTGTTTACTCACACTAAATGTCGCGGTAAGTTTGAGACATGACTTTCATAAAATAACTTACATTTACATAATTCTACACTAATTTGACTATTTATTGTGCTCAAATGTGTAGATATTATTCACCGAGGCAATTTTTAGGAGTCTGCACATGACATGTTCCAGGTAAAGCACAAATGGTACAGTTTTACCACCAGTACGCTGTCACACTGCCACCACCACATCATGTTGTGTTGGTACAGTGCCCTAAAGTAATGACAAGTTATATATATTCACACTATTTACTAAAGTCTCTCCTGTGCTTCAGTACTTATGAAGGGTGTGGTATTGGTGGAAACATGGAATCAGGCACAGAACAACGTCACACTGAGTACGCTGATAACAAATGTCTTTGCGTACTTTGGCGCAGATCTCACTCGTACGCCACACATGACATTTTTTCTGGGAATACTGTGCAGCTTTGGCCCAGTGGAAGGAATAACTGAAGGGAAGTGTCAAGCAGTCAGTCACAAAGGGAGTTCACCATCAGCTGCACGACGACCTCCAGGTCTCTTACGAGGTACTGTACTGCATTGGCCTCCAAAAGCTGCCTTACCACATTCAAGGAAAACTCACGGAGTAGATTTTTTACCTGTCTTCACTAGATAAAGAATGTGCGCGTTCAAAGGGACGTGTCCAAAAGAAAAGTTTTTGTACCATTTCATGGTCTTACATGCATAGTCTATACTGGAGATCATGCTGTCAGACCTGTCAACCAGACGCATGTTGGAGGTGTAGTCTGGGACACTGTGTGGCTTGTAGAGCCTCATCTTGGTCTTGGGGTCAACATTGTGGGTGATGGAATGATGCAGTTGGTGATGGAGTCGGGTGTATGGTGTCAGGGTCACACTCACTCACTATCCTTGTCATCATGTGGGTAATCAGGGTCATTGACACCACCAGAATCGCTCGAATCACCGTCTGTTCCTAATCAAAGAGAAGAGTGTTTATTTGGGCGTCACTGATAGTACGACGTGACGACATCCTTACAGAGTGGGACAGGTGAGGGTGTTGCCAAGATACATGAGGCCTAGCCACATGACTGCCTGTGGGGGTGTACGCCAGACAACTCACATGTTTATTTATAGCTCTAGAGCCCATATAGAGATTAGCAGGAATTTTAAAATTTTCAATGACATTAATATGCGCCCTGAACCTGGGTGTCCCTTCCTTAGTGGACGTTAATCTACGCCCCAGATCACGTAGGGGTTAATTCACTCCTCTCTGTAATGTCAGTGCAGGTACAGTATTAGTTCTTACGGATAAATTACTGTACTGTACTTTTGTTGTTATAGGACAGACTGTTGTCCTCCCAGCGTTCATTGTGTACACCATATACAATAGCTCCTGTAGGTACAGAACTTGGTTGTGACACAGTGCTCTTGTAGCAAATTAATATTTATTGTAACCCAGAAGTGGAGTGTGAACTGGTTGGTAGAGTTTGTGATCCAGACATGAGTTGTCACGGCCTGACTCAGTGCAGCTGCAGTTGACTCACCCTGAGTTGTAAGTGATAGTACAGTATTTTTATTAATAGGTTTATGTTTTATTTCAGATAAGTTTACAAGGAATGGAGGAAATAATTTTGAAAGATGAGCCTGAAGATTGGTGTAGCGTTGTAGAAGACACTCGGCAACGCGACCCAAACGTATTATATTGTAACAACTCCGATCAAGTGTCACAGAGGTGCTTGAGCTCTGATGGGTGGAACTTCTCAAGCTTAGTGGAGGAGAATCCTTCATATTCTCTGGCCTTTGATCGCACGCTCTTCCCAAAAGATTACCCGGGCGGCTTTCACAAGACCTCGGTAACGTCCTTGATGCCCTCAGATATGATCCAGGTGGGAGACAAATTCTCATCTCTGGCCAAGTTGGAGCAGGCAATTACCCTTTATGAGGCTGAAACAATGACAAAACTGTACAAGCGAGACAGCAGAAAGTTGGTGAGCAAACGTGTGCAGCGGGACATAAAAGCTGAGCTGGTGTATTATGACCTAGTCTATGCCTGCGTCAAGGGCGGAAGAATTTACTACACTAGAGGAAGACCGAGTCGCAAGTGAGTACAGTACAGTAGAGGCAGTGATGGTCCAGGTACAGTACAGTAGAGGCAGTCATGGTCCAGGTACAGTACAGTAGAGGCAGTGATGGTCCAGGTACAGTAAGTGGAAGGTCTACTGTACAATGTACGAACATTTCTTAAAAAGTTATTTTGGCCTAAAAATCAAACATTATTAAATTAAATAAATATAATAGGTAAGGCACCAAAGTTGATGATGATAGGTTGTGTGTTGTTCATTACAATGCTCTACTTAACTACCATTCATTATATCACTTAACCCATACTCCTCCAACAACAGTGTCTTGCCTACAGCTACTGGACCATGTGGTCGGTACTTGGTGGCCGCACATTTTGTCACCGCTCTATTAATTCATTCTTATAAGTAGATAATAATGTCTACATTTTGTTGGTGATGAAGCCACGGTTATGTTAAAAATTTTACCTTCTTTACCTAATGGCCACCCACTGGAGGTGGCCATGGCAAGGGAAGGAGGCCATTGGCCTGTGTAGGATCCCTCCACTGTTCTTGATAATTTTGATAAGGACTATTTTGAAGCCCAGTACTACTCCTAACTCCACAGCTTGAGCTGGTAGACCGTTCCATGGGTCTACCAGCCTCTATGTAAAGAAGTACTTCTTTTTGTTTGTTCTGTATGATAACTTGGCCAGCTTGTAGTTATGTCCCCTCGTGTCGGTGGTGCGGGACGTCACAAACAGATGGCCCGGGTTCATGTTTTTCATTGAATGTTTCAATGAGATCTGTTCTATTGTGTCTTGTCTGAAGGGTTGTTAGGCCCTCAGTCTACTTTGATAAAGAAGATGACATAGTTAATGAATCATCTTAGTGGCTCTGTGGTGCACCTTTAACAAGGATGGTAGGTCTTTCTGGAGGTACTGTAGGGTCTCCATGCCAGTACAGTGTACAGTAAAACCTCAATAAATCAGACTTCAATAAATTGGAATTCGCCTTTTTTCGGACTCTGAGATGCTCTGGTCACAAAAAAAATAAAATGGGGAAGATTAAATAAAAAAAAATCTTAATAAATGAACCAGACTTACTGAATACTGTACAGAGGTCTAATGAGATTTGTTGTAGGCCTACTGAGAACTAAGACACTGTGAGCAGGCTGGGGCTGATCAGGTGTTTCCACATTCATCAGGTTTATTGATTCAGTAATATATTATCACATGATTGGCCTCTTATGGTTCATTAATATAACATCTTCAGTAATAGAGACAAAATACAATACTTTATGTAAAAGGATAAGCTGTATCAGAAGGTTGTTCACTGAGATGTGTTCAAGCTTTCAGTAGACCAGCTTACAACAGGGGTCACTATAACACACTGTACAGTATTTGATGTGAAGATATCTTCTTAAAAACATTATTTACTGCCTTTGAGTGTTATATGATGACTCTGTTTGGCTACTTGTACACTTTGACAAATGGTGTAAATACACTACTATAGTATTTATTAAGTGGTGATAAATACACTACTACAGTGGGGTATGCTATAACGAATCTAATTGGTTCTAGAACCTTGTTCGTTATAGCATTCGTTCGTTATAGGATTAATCCGTTCCAGGCCCCCAAATACAACCACTTAACACTGAAAAATATAATATAAAATTGTAAAATTTTAAAAAAGTGCATAAATATGCATCTAAACCCCTGACCCTTAGCAACTGTTGCTAAGGGTCAGTCAGCAGAGGCACACAGCCCAAGTCCCTCCCCTGCTCAGTACACGTGGCGCCTGAGGCTGAGAGAGTAGCAGGTGGAAGTACCTCCCCCAGTCCCACACTCCTACGGTCACTGTCGTTTTTTTTTCACTAAGCCAAGCATGTAAAGTTCAATGTACGTAAGATGTCACATGACTGTATTCCCTTAGTGTGTGTGCTGTCTCTCTCATCCTCCAGGGCCACATTCTTTTCATCCTGTAGACTAGAGGGCCGATAGTGTCCCTGCTTTTCATTTTACTCCTGACATACACATGAAAGGTCTTGAGATCTTTCCTAACACATTGGGTTAGGTTCATCTCTTAAGTGCCATCTGGCTGATCTGATGTTCTAATTTGGTATTTTCTCTTACAAGCATTTCCATAAGTTCTTGCTACCATTCGTCAATGTTTGACTCCTGTTTAATAATTTCCTCCCAGTTAATTGTCTGTAGTTTGTCTCTCACCAGCTGGTAATCTCTGTGGTTGAAGTCATATTGTTCCTCCTCAACTTTTTCTTCACTATCAAAGATTGTATTCCATCTTAGTCTGTACTGTAGTGGTCGCTGGTCACAGTTAGTGTCTCCCCGACGCAGACCTCGACCACCACAGCCTCCTGTTGTCTCCCGTCGTGGGTTCCGGCACGTCTTGTGAGTCTTCAATGAGATCAAGGAATTATTCTTCCTCGGCTTGTGTGGTAAGACTCACCCAGTCTATTGTCTTATGATTAAAGTCTCCCACGATGAGGTCTTGTGCTCTGTCTGGATGACTCTACGAAGATCTGCTACTTCCTCCCCCGAGGCTGAGTCGGCCCTATAGCACACACCTGTCAGTTTACTTTTGTCTCGTGCTGTCAAATTACACCAGACTCGGATGATTCCATTCTGTTTAGCTCATCATTAATGGTTACTGTGAAGTGCTCTACAGTAGTACACCACCACCTCTTGTGGCTGTCTTCTCTAAATGGTGGGAGATACTTGGTAAATACAACTTTCTCTGCAACACATCTTCTCGACCGCAAGACTCCACAACTCACTAACGTGTGTTTGTTCTGGGTCTATATATGCACTTAATACATCAATCTTGTTAACTAGACTTCAGGCATTTTTTCCAACACTTGATTGGCCAAGGTTCCAGGATGGTCGAAGCTGTGTGTGTGAGGCAGTGAAGAGTGTGTTGAGGTCATGATACAAGGACCTCATGTTGATGGTAGTAAATGGTTACCGTGTGGGGGATTATTATAACATTAAACAGTGGTGTGGTGTAGTGTTTTCCTCTCTCTAGGTCTTAACCCTTTGACTCCTGGAAGGTTAAACCATCATCGTCAAAGGGTTAAACCATAGCCCGCAAAAGGTTAAACTATAATCCTCAAAGGGTTAAACCATATTTCTCAAAGGGTTAAACCATAGTTGACAAAGGGTTAAACCATAGTTGTCAAAGGGTTAAACCATAGTCCTCAAAAGGTTAAACCATTTATCAAAGGGATAAACCATCGTCATGAAAGGGTTAAACCATCATCATCAAAGGGATAAACCATCATCCTCATAGGATTAAGGTGGGTCATTGGTAGTCTTCAGTACACACCTTGAAACCCCGTGTGTTAACCTAATTCATATGAACACATACAGTATCACCTATTCTCACTCCATCTCATTTTGACCTGTATACAAGCCAGCCACTACTTGCCTCTCAGGACTGTGTAGCAGTTGAACTTGTGTGCAGTAAGGGGTTAGTAACTTGTGCCCAGGAAAGATTAATATCACACATGTGGTATAACTCTTCCCTCATGTGTCAGTGAAGGACCTACAGTATATAAGTGTGGTTCTCTTCTCTGATAACTGCCAATATAGGAAGTTATTCCTTTGTGTCTGTAGATCTATACTTTAGCCCTCAGTAAAGTAGATCTACCAATATTACCTAAAGGTTGAGTCGCCATCACCGAGAAGTACCGCCTGTTTTTATGTCTTGTTTACATTAACATCCCAATCAGGTTTGTCTTGTTTTTTGTATAATTGCTATGATATTTGAAATTTTAGGTACACAGTATAATTATTATCTGATCCACTTCAAATAAAAAAAAATACTTGAAAATTTGTGTATACAAGCTAATGCATTTTGCGGTAAAGACCGGTTCAGTATAGTATTTACCAGGTGTCAGCTGTCATGCCTTTAATAAACATGATACTTAAGGTGATCATGTGTCATGCTGGTACCCTTGAGTCTTATGATGATCTGTGATGACTGTTGATTATATATTGTGTTGTGTTGTGTCCAGCTCCTTGAAGAGTGGCTGCACGATGCAGATCAGACTGAAGGCCTCCCGGGACGGACAGTTCCTGGAGGTGGTGCACAAGGTGGAGCAGCACAACCATAGCCTTACTGAAACACACATGTCTTACAGAGGGTATGTTGTCAGCCTTACACTCTACCACCACCATTATAAAACTTTTATGTGTTGTCAGCCACACACTCTACCATCACCACCATTATAAAACTTTCAGGTGTGTACTCATGTTATACCTGTACAGCACTTGGTTTGTGTGTTATGGGGGGCAGACAAGGCTGTTCACTACCTGTTATGCTCACCTCATCAATCTCAGGATGGTACAGTCTATGCCACTTATAGCTTCTCTGGGTCCCCCCCCCCCCTCCACCACTTCTAATACCTATCCATGATTTGTTTTAGTTACGAACAAGAATGTATAGCATGATAATGGAACTTCGAAACAGGCCACTGCTTGTTTGCACTGGTTCCACCAATGATCGTTGAGCGTCAGGTATTTCCAGGCCTCCAGTGTGTGTGTGGGGCTTATAAGTGGTGAAGACCGTACTTGGCTCTACTGTACTGTTTGTTTTTTAATCTGCCTCACAGTCACAAACACATTTCATTGTAGTTTATTTTGGTTACAGTATCAGTTGAGACCAATAAAAACCATTTATAAATGTAACCTTTATGGATCACCTCAAGATTAGCTCCCCTCCCCCATTAGATAGTTTTGGGGTGGCTAAACTTTAGTGTGGTTAAGGGGGGCTAATGTTAAGTTGATCCATAAAGTCTAATTGGTTTCAACACAATAGTTGCCTTGGCTACATCACTGTATAATATTGTGGATAGTTTTGTATCCCTGATTTGTTATTTGTCGTGATCACAAAAGCTAAGATGTTTGAAGCAGCCAATTATCTGTTGTTGAATACAGTAATTTGCATGACAGGGATAACTTTAGTCCTTCAGCTCTATAGTATGGTACTGTACTGTACAGTAGTAGTGTAGATGACACAATATATTGTCTCTTTGTCACAGGAGACCACGAGCTGCCCAACCAGTCAACTCCTCCGCCCTGCCACCTTGAATCAACACGCCACCTTGTAGGAGCTCAACACAGGACAAATAAAGGCTATGTTTTACCTCAGTTTACACTAGTCACCAATTATATACTTTATGAAGTTTATTTTCATAGTACAGTATATTGTCAATAGCCATTGTTACTTATTGATTGAAAATGTTGCTAGAAATAATAGGAATGCCTTAAATGTAATATTATATTGTTAATTTGTAAAGTTGTTGAGGCCCAATTTGAACACCCATTAAACTGTTTTCCAATTATTGAACTGGTAGCCTCAAAGACACGTTAACAGGTGTCTCGGCCCTACACACTGCTGCCTCTGCCTGGCTCACAAATCACACCTGACTCCCTGATTTTGGAAGCTGAAGAGTATAATGGCTTTAATGAATCTGACTTGTGAAATTGGTCAATTTGATCTTACACCGACCAGCAGTATAGACTTGCTGACACAATTTGGAAATAAAACCACTGCTGTATTCTGTACCAGTCAAGTTATTTGTGAGTTCAGTTGGCATCAGTTTTTGACTCTACTGTATAACTGACACATGATTCAGTGTGTTAGTACAGAAGGTAAACTTATCTGTGTGTTGTCTTATTGGACCTTGTGAAAACAGAAACTTAAATTACTGTTGATATTTTTGTATAAAAAATACCATTAACAGTTTCTCCATATGTATGATACATATAAATAAAGACAAATGCCTTTATTCTGTACTCTGACCATTTATCCTTTTGAGAGTACTGTACCTGTGCTGCGATAGGTGGCGTAATAAGTGGAGCGGACCGTTAACCCACTGTGGCTGTGTGCCCCGGGTCAAGGTAACCTTCTCACGTAACAGTTGTCACCACAAACAGCATAAAGGATGTTACCTTATGAAAGTACAATAAACCCTCACACTTTCGGACAATTAGGGGGTGAGAGGGTGTCCGGATATGGCAAATGTCCAGATGAACCGGGGACGAATGCTCGTTAATGATAATCATAATACAGTATTGTACATGGACTTTATTGATACAGGTAATATTAATGGGGGGGGGGATGTACTAAATGTATAAAAACGATAAATAATGATATAAAAAACACCAAAAGTGTATTTTACGGCATATAAGACACAAGGCCATATTAGACGCACCCCCCATTTTAGCAGTGAATATTTAGGAAAATACTTTACTGTGTATTTACCTCCTGTAGCCACAGTTTTCTTAAAATAATATACAGTGAACCCACTTTACACGTTTCTACATTCTACATTTACGCGGTACCCTGCCAGAACCGGAATTCCCACTTTACGCGGTGCATCTACTCATATACGAGGGTGAAGTGTAATTTTTTTATTTAGCTCATAAAATTCATACAAATTACCCAGCCAGAATATAATTTACATTGCTGGAATTCTTACAATTTGATGATCATTTTGAATTAAACATAATAGATTTTGCATTAGACATACAAATTTTAGATCTACTGTAAGTATTTTGTTTACTCTGAGTAAATATGTTATCTTTTGTGCAAAATATATGACATTTATATTCAAAATATTCCTGGTCTTACAAGGAATCCAGCAATGTCAATTATATTATCCTAACTTTAGTTTGAGGTATTATTTATTACTATACTCTGTACCTTAAAATCTAGTGGTTTTCCCCCAAACATTTCTCAGAGAGGGAAGAGCCAGCAGTGTAGTGTGAGAAGAGGGGGAGGGAGTTGAGTCCATTATTTGAATGGACATTAACTTGGCGACTGTATTTCTCTATTTCTCTTAAGTATTAATTGTGTGCATGTACCATCATAAAATTAAGATGTTATTTTTACTAGAACATAGGTATTGTGTTGGAAAAAGTGGAGTTTGGGGGTCAGCCGGTCTCTATTTCATTTAATTCCATATGTTATGTTGTTCACTTTACTGTAAAAGGGCCTCCTCGTGGGTTCAATTGACCGCGTAAAGTGAGGGTTCACTGTATATAGTATCAGTAAATGTGAGGAATAAATAAAAATACCAACAAAAAATATTGTATTGCCAAACCAGTAAGTAAAGCCAAATGAAAGTTGAACACAGTCGGCATTTGTATATACAGGTAGTCCCCGACTTACGACCACATGGACTTACGTCCATTGGTACTTACGACCTGCTCTGAACTTACGTCCGTCGGGACATACGACTGCGACCGTCATGACCAAAAATATTTTCAAATGACGCGTGCATTTTCTATACCGAAACGTTTCCGTCCCTGGCGAGAGGGTGGCGCGTCTCGGGTCGCCTCGTGGGTACACTCACTCAGTGGAGTGCTTAGTTGGTGTTTGACTGTCGTATCCTATACTGATCGCGCTGTGAACTTTCGTTATTATCGTATTTAATTGACTTTATAATGACTGGAAAGCGTAAAAGTGAGAGTGCTGGTGGTGTTCCAAGGAAAAGGAGACAGGCAATTACTTTTGAGATGAAAATGAAGATAATAACACAGTATGAGAATGGAAAAACAGTAGCAACGATCTCACGCGACCTAGGTTTCTCACACTCGACCATATCCACTATTCTGAAGGACAAGGAACGTATTCGTGAAGTAGTGAAAGGAACAACACCTATAAAGGGAACTATAATATCAAAGAGAAGACAAGGTCCTATTCACGATATGGAAAAATTATTGGTTATATGGATAGAAGACCAGATACAGAAGCGTGTACCCTTAAGCCTTCTAACCATACAGGCTAAAGCAAGATGCCTGTTCCAAAGCCTGAAGGAGCAGGCAGGAGATGAATGTGATCAAACCTTTATAGGAAGTCATGGGTGGTTTGATAGATTTAAAAAACGTTACAGTCTACACAATGTTAAGGTGAGTGGAGAGGCAGCTAGTGCCGATGTTGGTGCTGCCGAAGCTTTTAACGAGGAGTTAGATGATGTGATTGTGGAAGGGAATTATTTGCCTGAGCAAATATTTAATGTGGATGAGACTGGATTATTGTGGAAGCGCATGCCTGAGCGGACATACATCCACAAAGAGGCGAAAACAATGCCCGGATTCAAGGCATTCAAGGACAGAATTACACTTCTGTTGGGGGGGAATGTTGCTGGTTTCAAGCTAAAGCCCCTCATGATCTATCATTCAGAGAACCCCAGGGCTTTTAAACATGTCAGCAAGCACACACTGCCAGTGTTTTATCGCAGTAGTAAGAGAGCCTGGATGACCCTAGCACTGTTTGAGGATTGGTTCATGACTTGTTTCATTCCTCGAGCCAAGGAGTATTGTCTGCAACAACAGATTCCATTCAAGATTTTACTGATTTTGGATAATGCACCGGGACACCCACCACACCTGGACGACATGCACCCTGATGTTAAGGTAGTGTACATTCCACCTAACACTACCTCTATCATCCAACCCATGGAACAAGGTGCTATTGCTGCCTTTAAAGCGTATTATTTACGCACGACCTTCGCTCAGGCTGTTGCTGCTACTGAAGGTGAGAAAACGCTCAGACAGTTTTGGAAGGAGTACAACATTTTGTCATGTATAAAGAACATTAGTGCAGCATGGGATCAGGTTACAAAACATTGCATGAATGGAATATGGAAGAAAATCCTGAAAAGATATGTGCACAGTGTTAAGACCGTGTCGTATTTTTCTATTTTTTTTTTTATATATAACATGCTCCCATGTTCCATATTATTCCTGTAATGATGTGTTAAATTTACTATTATATATTCTAGTCACCTTACCCTGTGCTGTTAAGGTTTTAACTGTTATTATTTGTTCAAGCCCATCTTATTTCTTTATTTAGTATTTTAACAAGTATTCTTTGTTCTCTAACGACCATCTGCATCATTAAACGACCCACCGGCGGGTCGCGTGGCGGGAGCCGACCTTATATATAGGACCCACCAACTGACGGAGTTAGTTCAGTCCTCTTGTCATACAGTCCACATCCTTTGAGTGACATTCGTCACCTGTTACTTATACTTAATTTATTTGTGTTGTTCCTGTCGCCACCAATGTGGTATATCTATGTGAGTACCTATTTATGTCTATTTATGTCCGTCAGTATTTGCTTAGTTACATTTAAGTAATTCAGTGTTGTTTCACGTTAGTTAATTTCAGTGTTAGTTTTTATATGTTTATGCAGTGTTAACGTAATCCAATGTTTTATTATTATTCTTTTGATGTTTCGATATTTAGTATCATTTGTGTCTTAAAAGTTTCGATGGTGAATCAATTTGTTGTGACAGCCTACGAGGCTCTTTATTGTGTTAATATTTAATTAATTAAATTCTTAAAGGTTTACTTTATTTATTTTTATTGTCTTTTAATTTACTTCACTTTTTTTGTTTGGTAACGCCTAGAACCTGGATATTTAAATAAATTAAGAGACGGCGTAACAACAGTTTCAAAGGATTTAATGAAAATTAAGTTATTTTGGATATTAGTAACAAGATAGTGGAGTTAGGTAAACAGCTGGAGTTAGAAATTGATAATGAAGATGTTGAACAGTTGGTTGAAAGTGTAGCAGAAGAGCTCAGTAACGAGGATCTTATTGAACTAGATGCACAGAAAATTGCAGAGGAAGAAGAGAGACAAAATGTAGAAGAAGAACCTGCACCCCCCAAAAAGTTTTCAGTGAAACAAATGGCAGAGGCATTTGGTACAATTAATAAAGGAATGCAAATGTTTGATGGCATGGATCAAAATTATGAGCGTTATGCCAAAGATGACAGAATGATCCAAGATGCACTTGCTTGCTACAGAGAAATTTATAATGAAAAGAAAAAGCAAACTGTGCAGTCTAAATTGGACATCTATTTCAAGAAGTCCCCCAGTGCTGTCTCCTCACGCCCCACCAGTGCTGCCTCTTCACTCCCTCAAGATGATCCAATACCTTCAACCAGCAAGTTACCACAGTACATAAACCTGTCTGAAGGAAGCGACATTGATGACCCACCCAGCCCTGTCTCCTCTTCTGCTTCTTCCAATTAATATAGTCTCCATGTATCCTGTAAATAGAAAATTATGGGGGCCCTGTGTGCATTCAGCTGACTACATTTAAGGTAAGTGCTCAGTCACACTGTATCCATTCCTCATTATTTATTACATTTACTGTACTGTATTTCATTGTAGTTATATCATGGACTTCAAACTGTACAGGATTTCCTAACCATAAGTAGAATCGAGGAACAGCTGTACTGTACAGTACATCTGTACTCTCTGGTTTACCATAGCAACGGTAATGTTACATCCGCTGATTCCTTAGCAACACTCCCCCCACCACCAACCATCCAGCTGCCCTCCCATTCCCCCACCAAGTCAGCTATCTCATGTGCACAGAAATGTATATTCCTTTATGTGTTTTAATTTGTTCACAATAAGTATGTAGGATGGTGTGTGTATGTATATCAGTAAAATTAAAGAAAAAAGTTACATATATCTACCCAAAAATACGAGTTGAAAAACAACCATAACACCTCAGCATGGCCCAGCAGACAACACGGACTGGGCCTATTTTAGCAGCAGGGGAGTAAACACAGCATAGGGACTGAGAGAGAGAGAGAGACTGGATAGGAATTTGCCACATCCAAACGTTGGTCCAGACCAACCAAAATCTTGAAGCATTTGTGTTTGGTGCTACAGGTCAATTTCTGGATATTTTATTGCAACTCTTCATTTTCATCAAAACTTTGGACCATGTGGTGGGTCTATTGAACCATCCTTGTTGTGTATCAGGTTTATGGTCTAAATTAGAGGCTGGTTGTAACAAATAAGATGTTATTTCCTTATTTTTTTATTTTATATACAGTAAAGCCTCAAATAACGACGTTAATGTGTCCTCCAATTTTGCAGTGCAAGGTGATTCGTGTTATTGCGAATCATTAATTACCATTAATTCCCGGGCCAGTGGAAGTTGTTTGGACTTACTTCCTAGCCCCCATTAGTCCCTGTTCACCTAGCAGTAAAGTAGGTGATCGGTCAGTTGTCGCCTTCATATCAGCCAATCAGCCTCGCCATGAGGGCAAACTACACCACGCTCTTAAGCAGAGAAGACCTCCCCCAAAGAAGCTCCTCCACAGCAACTCCTCTACCAAGCAGTAACTTCCCAGCACCTGACTGTTCTGTACATATAATATAAAGAAAATGCCATTGTGAGTTTCCCTTCTCACCTCCATCCTTAGTGCAAGATCTCCTACACGTCCGTATGTATGTGAGCCTGACAAAGAAAATACACAACTGGCCACATACACTACGCTACAATGGTTCTTTATTATTATTATTAGTAGTAGTAGTATTAGTATTAGTATTAGTATTAGCATTAGTTTTAGTATTAGTATTAGTATTATTAATTATTAATTATTATTATTATTATTATTATTATTATTATTATTATTATTATTATTACAGTTAACCCTCACTTTACGCCGTGCCCTGCCGGAAACCAGGATGCTCACATTCCGCGGTGCCTGTACCCCTTTACGCGGAGAGCGGCTGGCGAGCCGCGCCATTTTTGGATCCAAACCTCCCGCCATCCGCCATGTTGTGTAAGCGGCGCAAACATGGTGCGCACAAGGTCGCCCAGTCATCAAAACATTACCAGTTCTTCACCCGCCACCCACCACAGCCGGCCCAAGTCAGTGATAGTGATAATTATGGTGAGGATATGGACTTATATGGACTTTGGGGAGTTTGACAAAGAGGCCCTGCAAGCCTCTGTGGTGGATAGTGATACAATTGATACAAGTGACACAGGTGAGGGCCAATAATCTGCCCTCTGCCTCGGAACCAACCGCCCATCCCCGTGTGCCCAGCCATTTTTCTACTAATGTAAGTGTTAAAAAACCTAATATTATTGATATTTCTCTTAATTATTAATTGTGTGTGCATACCATCATAAAGTTAAGATAATATTTTTACTACAACATAGTTGTGTGTCGTCAAAAAGTGGAGTTTGGGGATCGGCCCGGACTCCATTTCAATTAATCCCATATGTTATGTTATTCACTTTACGGGTTTCTCACTTTACGCGGGACCCTCCGGGTTACATTAACCGCGTAAAGTGAGGGTTAACTGTATTATTATTATTATTATTATTATTATATTTTCGGCCCTGATGTAGGTCAGTGACCTGTGCCCGGGTGGGCTAATACTCTTAAAAAAAAAGAAAAACAAAAAATCCGACTTAATGAGACAGCACCTGTCGGCCACGTTCTTCAGTCCTGGACACCTGGACTATGAGTTCTATGGGACCCTATCGACCCCATGACTTCTATGCGACCCCGTAAATGGGAACCACTGTTCTAGAGCTTCAGGTACCTCACATGACACACTCACCTCCACGGGCTATAGGAATGGTTTCCCACCATTACCAGTGGATTACTGCCTTTACAGAGAAGATAGGTACACCCTTTGTCATAGACTAAAAATTCCCTCGGTCACCCTCAGTAACCAGAGCTTTTGAAGGTTTAAAACAAGACATTGCAAACTCAGTAGTTACAGCTATTGAACCTTCTCCTCTGTCTCACTTGTGGTGGAAACCAATGTATCAGGGTACAGTACATTACACTACAGTATGCCATTGTTGCTTCTTTAAGTCAATCTGGCCAGCCTGCTGCCCTCTTAATGATTCTCTCCGCTTTTTAACAAACACTCATCTGTTGAAAAGGAGGCCTATGACATTGTTGAAGCGTTAAGAAAGTGGAGACACTATTTAATTGAACATCAATTCCAACTAGTCACAGACCAGAGGTCGTTAACATTTATGTTTAATTATAAATCCTCAAGCAAATGAAAAGATAACTAGATGGTGAATACAACTTCCCTGCTTCACCCTGACATCTTCTTTCATTCAGGGAAAGAAAATGCAGCCACCAATGCTTTCTCTGGTATGTATGTAGCTCAACATCACATGGAGATGGTCTGCAGATTCTCAACGACATGTATCATCCTTTTGTCACGGCAATGAGGCACTTCGTACGCAGTAGGAACTTGCCATACTCCATCAATGACATACAAAAGACAATTGCTTCCTGCCCTATGTGTTGAGAACTGAAGCTATGAGTCTACAAACCTGAACCTGGGACTGTCATAAAGGCTACTCAACCTTTTGTAAGGTTGAATACAGACTTCAAAGGCCCTCTGCCTTCCAAGACAAGCAATCGGTACTTGTTGATCATCGTCGATGAGTACAGTACAGTGGAGTACAGTACTGTACTCACAATTTCCATTTACCTTCCCCTTGCTCTGATTTAACAGCCAACTATACTGTTATGAAGTGTCTCTTTATTCTCCATCTTTGGCATTTTTGTTTATGTACATTCAGACCGTGGGGCATCATTAATGTCAGAGGAGCTTAAGCAGTTCTTACACCAACGAGGAGTTGCCACGAGTCGGACAACTGCCAACAACCCCCGAGGCAACGGTCAAGTAGAGCGGCATAACGGGATCATTTGGTCAGCTGTGTCTGCCTTCTACACAGTGGGAAGTACTGTAGTTCTCACAGATGATCTCCACTGTCACTAATACTACCCCCCATGAACGCCTGTATGGTTACCAGCGAATATCCGCCTGTGGGAGAGCCATACCCTCCTGGCTAACCACCCGGGGTCTGTGTTCCTCAAATGGCAAGAAAGTAACAACAAATACCAACCTTTCCTAAATGAAGTTGAGCTCATTGATGTCAATCCAGAATATGCAAATGTTAGACTTCAAGATGGAAGGGAAATTACTGCGTCTATACGCCACATTGCACCAAAAGTGGACGGAACCAATAGGCACAGAGACCGAAACGTGACTCACTCGAGCACGTTGCTTCACAAGGATCAACTAAGACCCTAGAGAGCCTTCACCAACTGGAGGACAGACTGTCAAGAGAGACTGGACTGGGATACACCCACCACTCGGCCAACCCTATGTAGTTCAGAGCTCTCTAAGCGTTTGTCCTCACATATGACTGATTTTCCCTCATAGGCTGTAGAGTCAACCCTGGAAGATGATCAACAAAAATATTCTTGATATTAGTGTAGGTTTTGGGTTCATTATAATTTTGTTGTGTGTTGAGTAATGAGGACACAGTAATGTTATCATCTTAACTCAAGTACTAGTTTATAATGCTTCTGTACATTTCTTCTGCTGTTCATCTCATTTAAAGGCCGGGGAGAGTGATGTATTATACAGTATTATGCTGTTGTTGACAATGTTGTAGCTACATAATCTGCTACCGTCTTATATATACGTCTTGTATTTCTTGTCTTCGGGTATTGTATAATGTTGTATAGGATGAATAAAGCCTCCAACTCCTCAACTCTAATAATAAATATTACTAAAATACAATATCCAGTTAAACAAACAATTGGGTATAACTAAACAAGACATATAAACCTCAAAAAATATTATGTAAATGTTGACTTAAGGTTATCCGAGAGAATTTAATTCATCTCCTATTTGGAAACCTAACCTAACCACATTACCCCAAAATAGTGTTATGTGGTCAGTCTTCAGGTGAACTAGCTGAGGTGACCCAACTGTCTTTGCTATGTTAGATTAAGTTAGCATTGTGGTGGTTAATCTTAAGGTGAAATAAACTGGGGTGCCTAATCTTCACATGGTCGCTAAAGTCTTCGCAATTTTGGCCAACACCAAATAACTTATATCGTGAATCTTCCTGACCTGACCTGACCTAACCTAACCTTGGGGACCTCCTTAATAACACACCATAAAAATGTTTTGTTCCATCTTTATTATTTCATCATCATCATCAGTTTTTTGCCCTCATGTGTATATCATTTATCTAACTTTACTACTTTGGGAATTCTACAAAATGCTGTAGAGAATAAATAAAAATATGTTCAGCCTCCATAAGAGCCATCATGAATTACTACAGTACAGTATTTCTCTATAATGTCTTTGTCTTCTACACAATTACAGTACAGTATCTCACAAACCTATTATTTTATCTGAACACCTCACATATCACTCACTAAATCATGTGGTGCACAAAGATAGAAGATTATTTAAGGAAAAACTTATACAACACCAAGAGGAAGGATGTTAAAGGGAAGGAATAAAATCACAAATTAAAAAAAAAAAAAAAGTTACTTTTTGAATGTTTGTGTAGAGGGCTGAACTGGACCCTACACACACATCGTTGATCCGACAAGAATATAAAACCAACTGCTGAACGACCATGAGAGAATATATATAAGATACTGTACTGAAGATTAAAAACATCCTCCCATTACATTCTGTACTTTAACTGTCGAGGTCGTAACTCTTCTCGTCATTCTATTTTCTAACACAGAAGAATGTTTACAAGGATTCACAGTACAATGACACTTATATTGAGTTGGTGTCTAAACCTAACCCATATTAAATCATTAAAACTTATTCAACAATACAATATAAATTAGATGCATGGTGACTACAGCACTCGTAAGTGAAGAGAATTGTTCGGGATAAAAAACTATAAGTCAAATACTGTACCAACTTTCTATCTTTCACTAATAACAGATTTAGAAATAAAAGACTGTACTGTACATTATATAATACTAAAGTCATTATAGTAGAAACGTCATTATAATTCATAAACTTTTTAAAACAACACATCGAGAGAGGAACATTTACGACGACTTTTGTTTGACGCTCAGTGCTTCCCTCTCTTGTTCCAAATAGGTGAGAGCGTCAGCCTTCTTACACAGGAAATAGATGTTGCTGTTTGGCTGTTGGAGATATACCCGCTGAAACAAAACATACCGGCCATTAATTCACCGCTTAGCAAACTCATCGATATATGAATCAAGAATTATTTCAATCATGTTTTAGAAACTTTTATGGACAAGTGAAGGGATTTAATTCACCAAGTTAGGAAAGAGACATGTCAAACACAGTGTCTCCTGGTCACACCTATAATGGGGTGGATCTATACGGTAATCAAACACTGATGAAAGTGTCCAGCTAGAATTATACGGTGCAGTACTTACTTTGTCCGCCTTCAAACTTTTGAGTTCATAGTCAAGAACTCTCAGTTCCCTCTCCTGGAACAATACAAATGACAGTTTCTTTAGGTGTTAGCAACTACAGTACAGTACAGTGATAACAAGCTTGATAACCTTTAAACCATACTGAGATACACATGATATTCTGGGAGCTTTGTTTGGTGGATGAGAACACAATCTAATCAATGAGAGTCAGGAGCTGAGGAAGAGATTAACTATTCCTTCCTTCCATGTCTGTAAGAACAAGTATCTCCTGAGTCTCTAGATATACTGTAGGTGTTGATATTTAAAACAATACATCTCAGGCCTCTGCTGCCACAACACTTGAATCTTAGCTGTATTCTCACAGGCAGCAGACATCTGTACAGTATCCTGACTACTCCAACAGAGTCCAGATGAGCGTTCAGTAATTGATGGGTCACACGGTCAAGAAGATTTCGGTGGGAAAGTTAGTTCAGGAGCCAACATTACCTCCAATGTCATAAGTCAACTCAAAGTGTCATTAAGTAATTCAGCTTAAGTCAACTCGGTGACATAAATTAACTCTGCCTGTCATGGCAGTTTATTGACCAAGTACTGTGGTACGGGTTTATGTGTCTACATTAAGTACTGTACAGATATTTAATGACTGTCTGACTGCTGTTGAGAATGTATCAACTGGCCTACATAAAATATATTAAATATTTATTGTGCAGTGCAGTACTACTCTGGGTGAAAGTTCTACACCTGTACCTCCACTTCTTCCTCTACATCTATGATAACACAGCCACTTAGCATCTGTACAGCACACACTGAAGGTTCTCTCTGAGCAACTTACTGTATACAGCACCACATGACCTGTCTAATGCTTCTTGAATGTTTACAAATGTGACCACCGGTTGTGTGTCTTAAAATATAGTCCTTACATTATGAAGCGCTGTCAATGGACTGGATGTTATATCAGATCACATGGAGGTTAATCCCTCACCTTATTTCACTTTAAGCTCAAACACCTTTATTCTGCTCTGACCTCAACTAATTGTTTCTCTTCTCACCACAAGTCTCACTAGTGTCAATAAGTCATCCCCAGCAGTAGTTATTATCTAATATTTACCACTAGAATTTTTTATTTTTTTAACTTTTAAAAGTTTTATATCATACAAAATATAAATACGATAAAGAAATCAGGAGAGGCATAGTGTGAAGACATGAAAGAAAATCTATTTTAATTACTGAAGAACTGTGGCTATTATTAGTATGGATCATGTGAGTATTAGGCACCCCATTTTAATTCACCTTGATGAACCACCCTATAGCTCACACCCCCACAGCAGCATTAAGGTGTGTAAACCCTTCACTACGTGGACGCCACTTTTAATATTTTATTTCCTTAATGCCGCACACTTTTACTCAACTCAGAGGGGCTCCCATACACAACATGTTAAACCTAAGGTAAAATAAACTAGGGTGCCTATTCTTCATGTGATCCCCATGGTGCTACTAAAACTAAAGATCACATATAAATGTTTTTTTAAAGTTCAAGAAATCATCATCAAAGTTTCCTTAAGCCTTTGATGTCAATTAATGTAAAGTGTGCAGTTTGACAGTTCCTAAACATTACTGTAAGTTCTGCATTTTTCATACAGTGACCAAACATTTAAATTCCCCCATTTTTCTATGTTATTTTCCCCCTGAGGTCTTCCACATCTCAGCAGAGCCCACACAGCCACAGTATGTTTGTATATTTCTTAGCATGTTTTATTGTTCTTTAAATAGTGTATAAGTATTATATCATTAATTATATTGTACTCATGATTCCGTATTAACAACATTCGTCAGTATGTGTCCAACAAGGAAGTAATTGAGGTTAGGAAGATTGTGCCTAGATCATTTGTCTTATATGACATGGAAGGTATTTTTAGAGGTACAGTACAGTATATAAACAGTATATTATTATCATCATCATTCTTATAAATCACATATTTCCATCGTCTGGGATCATGAGACACATCACTCAAAGTCTTAAACAATATACAACAAAGTAACTGATATAACTGTTTATAAATAATGAAAGATTACCATGACAGCCAAGGCTCAAAAGAGGGTTACCGGTACCACTTCATTCATTCCACCAGATCTTCACTGACCTGTCTACTACACACTACTGTTGCTTCAAGACAGTCTAGCCTGCCTATTGTATATCAAGCTATTAAATATAAACTGAATTGGTTAAGGTGGTACCATGTGACTTATCAAACCAACCCGGCCACAAGAGATATGAATGTATTTTGTTATTGATGAAGCTCGCACCAGGGGACGGCATTCTCTCTTCTGTCCTTTTTGTATGTCGGCTAAAGACACAAACCTGGCTGGAAATATGTTTTCATACAACTTTAATGTAACTAACATTTACAAGTGTTACTTTTGAAAATCGTGAGAGGGATAAATACGGTTAAAAGAGGCAAAGGCAAAAGGTATGTGAACTGTTTAACCCAACCTACCATTGGTTAGTTTAACATCTTGTTTACCTTATATTGTTTAACCCAACCTACCATTGGTTAGTTTAACATCTTGTTTACCTTATATTGTTTAACCCAACCTACCATTGGTTAGTTTAACATCTTGTTTACCTTATTTGGGGGGGAACATTGCAGCAATCTCTACAAGGAACCTGTGGAGCCTCTTGCCTCTATCTGGGAAAGCTCTCTTGAACAAAGACTCTGCAAGGTAGCCCACAAAGTGCAGTTTCTTGTACCGGTACTGAGATACAGCTTCACTAATGGTGTACCCCTCCAGCTTTTTAAATGGCCACAAACAGGTGGTCACAATCGTGGATCCCGGCAAGATCCACTCATTTATCACGTTAACGAGAGTGTCTTTTGTCCGGTCTTGCAGAGGAACAAAGAACGACCTGCCAGTGGTCACCTCAATACCCCCAAGGACAACCTCGCCCTCGACGATCTTCCCATTTTTATATTTCACCTTCCTGTACAGCGCCTCATTAACCTCAACCACCACCCCGGGGCCGCCAATCTTTGTCTTCTGCGTCTGACAATAATTGATCGCCACCTTACGACACAAGCTCCACCACTCGACGACCGTCAACTTTGATACGGCCGTCTCGTACACGACATTAGCGATGAGCTGTCCGGGAACCAGCCACATGTAAGTCAGTTTAAGAATTAGCTTCGGGGAAAGCTTGGAGTTACCAAACCACGTGCCGGCCCTGGCAGAAATCTTAATGCGGCAGCGGGTTCTCTTCTTCCTGCGACCCGACGCACCGTGCCTGCGGCCACAACGAAAGAGAAGAGAACTGGTGTTGATGTGGAGGAGTTCACTACAAGACGGACAGGTCTTCACTGTCTTCAGCAAACCGTGCTTCGCAAAAAAATGCACAGTGAGCTCATCGTCGAGCAGAATCTCACACATTTCATCATAGTTGATGCAGCAGCCAGTGCAACGTTCGTCCCCCATGATAACTTTGAGCTGGAAAATAAAGTGGCAACTCTCCTAAACCTTTATATACATAATAAACCACAAATAACCAAAATATAATCAAATATTTATTTCAGGGGAGTAGCCAACAATACAGTGCTGTACTCGAGCTGATAACACCACAAGGAGTTGTTCAATTTGGTTTATTTTTTTCACACTTGTTCTTTGGATGATAGTAAGTGATAATATTGACACGATAACCTTTATGTTCTAATATTAAGTACCGAGCATTTTGTTCTTTTTTAGTTTTTCTCGATCTACGATCATAAATCACCTGTAGTGGCAGAGCATGAAGGATGAGGGTAATTGTGGGGTAAAACACAGTGAGAGATGATCAGACCCACTCAGTCTGAGCGTACTCTCACATCCACAGATCCCAGTAGGTAATTCACATTTTTTGCCATTATCACTAAGATTCTTTTTGGTTAGGAATCGATTTCCTTACAAGACATTTCCTGCACAAATGAGCCGTTATGGAGATATGCCCCCCTCCACCAATTAACAACAACAATGGTCGTTCAAAGTGAGCAGGGCTTTGAAGTACAGTACACGGTAAATGTGGGGTAAAATATTAAAAATAACACTAAACAAACCTTTGAAAGCCTGACCTAACTTAACCTAACCTAACTTGTAAAAATGTTAAGAATTGCTTTAGAGTTTATGGATACCTCCTCCTCTGAACACTGAGAACATGAACAAGGTAAAAGTTCTATAGTTTTGGATTTTTATAGGTCAGGTCAGGTCAGGTCAGGTCAGGTCAGGTTTTCATATCTCCATAACGGCTCATTTGTGCAGGAAATGTCATGTAAGGAAATCGATTCCTAACCAAAAAGAATCTTAGTGATAATGGCAAAAAATGTGAATTACCTACTGGGATAAAAGAGAAAATTAACCTTATGTTTTCTGTGGTGTCAGATATAAAAATAAGTAGTTTCTGTTTAATATGGTGGGGGTCCAAGGGGCACAGCTAGGAAGTTAGTAAGGTCAGGTAGATTTTTTGGTTAGGTTGGCGAGGTCTTCTAATGCCACTCGTTTTTCTTATCAACTAAGGTTAGGTTACGTTTAATTTAGAAATAACCTCCTTTTAACACATTTGTCAAACCTACGACAGTGTCCACTATAAAACACAGTGAAATTGCAGCTGTTTTTAAATTTGTTTTTTTATGAAAAATCGGCGGCAGTTCAGTCGTCAATAATAACCGTGGAATAATGAACAAAATTGAACAATGCATTCTGGTGTTAACCACCTGCTTCAGGACATCCCAGTAGAGACACCCACAGTACCAGACACTCCTTGTTGATACTTCTGCAAGATCTTACCTAAATGATGATAATATTCTTACAACACATTCCTGGTCAATTTTCACTTGTTGCCACTATAAAAAATCAAAGTTGAAATTAAGTTTTTCCCGTAGTTTTTGATGAGTTATGAACGAATTTGATCTTCATTTTTGGCACAAATCAATAGTGTCTGAGATAATCCCTGCCCCCTTATAGAATGTAAGGATTTGCTATAAAATTCAAGGTAAAAAGTGTTCAAAATACATCAACAATATCAGAAAAACAGTTTTGAATCTAACCTGACCTAACTAGGGCGGGGGTCCACGAGTCATTCAATGTTCTGGATGTGTATCGTCACATATGAACATCCATAATAAATTTTAAATATTTCAGTTAATATTCATTCATTGGCTGTCTGCAGGTTTCCAATTTTCAATATTACAGACACAAAGACTATAAAAAAACAAAAAACATACGATTTCATATAATTTCTGGTGTAAATCAATATTAATGGAGTATCTCACAAATTTCTAGGCGTAAATATTTGTAACCCGCCATGTTGCCAGAGTCACTCTTCTTGTCCTCTCCTCACTTTTCTCCTCCCCCTCTTTGTCACAGGACAACCAATGATCTTCAAGTGTCGTGTCATGTGACTTGGCTGACCAATCATTGTGAAGCAGCCATTTGAAGGATCGTGATGGTGTGTGGTAAGTGTTCTCTCCGTTGTGTAGTTGCTATTCAGGGAGTTTATCAGAACAATAGTGAAGCAATCCAAATATTCCAAGGTCACAGAGTCCTACCAACATCAAGACTGTGTCCTGGAAATTGTTTAAGAAAAGACAGAAATTCATTTGTCTGAAACCACATGCACACCAGATCACCCAGCTGTCTCCTCCACCACAGTAGCAGGTAAGCTCCAAAAATGGTTAGGTTAGTTTAGGTTTGTTCTTTTTGGTGTTGTATGGTTAGGTTAGGTTAGGTTAGGTTTGTTCTTTTTGGGGTTGCATGGTTAGGTTAGGTTAGGTTAGGTTTGTTCTTTTTGGTGTTGTATGGTGTGCTTTACTCAAACCTGACCGCCATTTTGGTGCAAATTAGCTGTTTCTGTTACAAATGAAAATGTAAGGTTTGAGTAAAACAGAGTTTGGGTCAACTAGTACCCAAGACAACTCGTACCCAAGACAACTCGTACCCAAGACAACTCGTACCCAAGACAACTCGTACCCAAGACAACTCGTACCCAAGACAACTCGTACCCAAGACAACTCGTACCCAAGACAACTCGTACCCAAGACAACTCGTACCCAAGACAACTCGTACCCAAGACAACTCGTACCCAAGACAACTCGTACCCAAGACAACTCGTACCCAACTCACGAGATAAGTCGTACCCAAGATTGCTTGCGCCCAATTCAAGAGATAATCCCTACCTATTAGTGTATATACTATGCATTTTAGCTTTATCTATGATTACAAAATAAAATTTATAAATCTTGTAGGAAACTGCAGTGAAATAGAGAAATGTGTTGCAGGCTTTAAAATGGTTGCATCTCATTACATAAGTATCTTATTCCATCACACAAACATTGCACTACAAGTACTGAACTTGACAAGGGCTGAAACAGTACTGGAGCTATGAAACAAGGTCCAAGCTTATAGTATTAATAACAACTCCCTCACATAGGATTAGTGGACCTCCAAACACGAGAGATTAGCACGGTCAGTGACCCAGGGGGCATCCCTATGGTCATCCAACGTCGTGTCCTTTAACAGTAAGGCATCAAAGTCGCTGATTAACCTGACTGGTATACACGACCATTGAAGGACATGACATAAGATGATCAAAGGGAAGCTGCTTGGAAGTTCTGCAGTCGACTAATACGGTAAGAATAGGCCTAATTCAAACGTTTAACCTGAAAATAATAGGGTCGACTTGTATGCTGCAATATACAGTATATACATATGAGTACCAAGTGTTTCATTAATTGGGTACGAGTTGTCCAGCACCCAGTAAAACACGTCATAATACATACAGAAGAATAATTGTTGTATCAATACCTGAGGACAGCAAGTAAAAAAAATCACGAGATCCGTTTAGTGACAACAAGTGAAATAATACCATATTTACTCCTGCTTTCCAAATATGCCTAACTTTAATTACCGACATATTATTAGGTGATCATTTAAAGAGAAACAACCGATCATGGTAGTTGAACATTACCTCAGGCTCTACATAGTCCATCTTACAGGTCTACAGGGCTAATGACTCCTCTTAAGGTTGGGTCGTCCTGTTGAGGTTCGAACACAGTATACCTGAATTATTTATTTTCAATTAATAAAACTCAAAATCATCATATGTCTTTTTTATATTATTTTATTGATAATTAAGTTGAGTTTAAGTCATCCTAAGACAAATACTGGTATATTTCGTTGGTGGTATTTTATAACATAATTATTTCACAGTAGAGGTTTGTTTACATTATCCGAAACATGGTGACCCAGACTTCGACCTCAAATTAAAAAACTACGATTTCCTGAACTGAACTCAATTAAGAACTGAAAAGTAGACATCTACAAACTACATATAATTCATAAATGGTAAGGTTCACATATATCAACCTGATACTATATAGCAAGTGATATGGAAATATGTGACAAAATGGTTAGATTAATCTAGATTAATAGTCATAGGAACAACCTTACAGACTTTTACTTTTATCCTCTTCACCACTGATCGGCTCGTTAACCGCTTGGTCGGTCGGTCACGTCTCTGTTACACACTGTTGGTAAGTACTGGGCATGCACCGGCTCCTGAATGTACCTGAACCCGCTCCAGTGTTGGTCAAGTCTGGTCTTGAAAGAGCTCACACTCGGTGCCGTCACAACACTCTCTGGTAGATTGTTCCAAGAGTTCACAACTCTCACTCCGAAAAAGTTTGCCCTCACAGTTTTCTGGACTGCGGCTTCTTCAATCTTGAGCTGTGACCCCTTGTGGGGCGAGCGTCCGCCAGCTCCAAGTAAGGACACTCACCTGAGTAGTGCCCCTGAGATGCTTATACACCTCAACTAGGTCCCCCCTTGCCCGTCTGTAGTATAAGCTAGGCAAGTTCAGGCACTCCAATCTCTCAGGGTAGCTGAGGTGCCGAAGTGCAGGCACCAGTCTGGTGGCCCTCCTTTGAACATTTTCAACCAACTGACAGTCCCTAGCATATCTCGGGGACCAGATGGGGTGACAGTACTCCAAATGGGGAAGCACTTCACTCCTGAAGATCGTTACGAGGGACGGACCGTCTATATATCTGAACGACCTTCTTATAAGACCCAATAATATATTTGCCTGATTTACCTTCTTCTCGCAATGGCCCGAGAACTTCAGCTCATTGTCAACATACACACCTAGGTCCTTCTCACACACAGTCTCAAATAGTGCAGTTTCTTCATCCCGTTGGGACATATGATACGCCTCCTTACCGTTGGTACGCCCTAGGTGCATCCTCTTACACTTCGTGACATTCAATCTCAGCAGCCATTTCTACGACCATTCTTGGAGCCCACAGAGGTCCTTCTGCAGTTCTTCACAGTCCGCTTGGTTCTTGATTTCCGGAAATAGCTTGGCGTCATAGGCAAACATTTGTATGGAGGTGTATAAGCATCTCGAGGGGCACTACTCAGTCGAGTGTCCTTACTTGGAGCTGGCGGACGCTCGCCCCACAAGGGGTCACAGCTCAAAATAGAAGAAGCCGCAAGTCCAGAAAACTGTGAGGGCAAACTTTTTCGGAGTAAGAGTTATGAACTCTTGGAACAATCTACCAGAAAGTGTTGTGACGGCACCGAGTGTGAGCTCTTTCAAGACAAGACTTGACCAACACTGGAGCAGGTTCAGGTACATTCAGGAGCCGGTGCATGCCCAGTACTTACCAACAGTGCGTAACAGAAACGTGACCGACCGCCCAAGCGGCTAACGAGCCGATCAGTGGTGAAGAGGATAAAAGTAAATTGTCCAGGCTAAAGGTCCATAAAAGTCCCGGACCTGACATGGTGCATCCTAGAGTGCTAAGAGAGTTGTGCAACGAGCTTGCAGAACCCCTGAAGATCCTGTTTTGTAAATGCCTGGACGAACAAATGGTCTCCAGTGAATGGAAAGTGGCTTATGTGAGTCCTGTCTTCAAGAAGGGCGATAGTCACTCCAAGAACAACTATAGACCGGTGAGCCTGACCAGCATAATATGTAAAGTACTTGAGAGTATTATCAGAGATGCCGCAATGGAACATCTAATACGAAACAACCTTGTAAAAGATTGCCAACACTGTTTTATGCCGGGGCGCTCCTGCTTAAAACAATTGCTCAAGGTATTGGATTTTTGGACCCATATTCTGGAACGGGGTGGTAATATCGACAATATTTACCTAGATTTTGCCAAGGCTTTCGAGAGTGTACCCCACGAAAGGCTGAAAATCAAACTGGAAGGGTACGGAATTCCGGGAAATGTCCTAGCGTGGATAGAAGACTTTCTACATGACCGCAAGCAGTGTGTGGTGATTAATGGCACAAAATCGTCATCTGTACCTGTTACAAGCGGAGTACCACAGGGCAGTGTATTGGGCCCGCTGTTGTTTGTTTGTTTCATAAATGACATGCCTGACGTTGTACACTCCTCCATACAAATGTTTGCCGATGACGTCAAGCTATTTCTGGAAATTAAGAACCAAGCGGACTGTGAAGAGCTGCAGAAGGATCTCTGTGGGCTCCAGGAATGGTCGAAGAAATGGCTGCTGAGATTCAATGTCATGAAGTGTAAGAGGATGCACCTGGGGCGTACCAACGGTAAGGAGGCGTATCATATGTCCCAACGGGATGAAGAAACTGCACTAGTTGAGACTGAATGTAAGAAGGACCTAGGTGTGTATGTTGACAATGAGCTGAAGTTCTCGGGCCATTGCGAGAAGAAGGTAAATCAGGCAAATAAATTATTGGGTCTTATAAGAAGGTCGTTCAGATATCAAGACGGTCCGTCCCTCGTAACGATCTTCAGGATTGAAGTGCTTCCCCATTTGGAGTACTGTCACCCCGTCTGGTCCCCGAGATATGCTAGGGACTGTCAGTTGGTTGAAAATGTTCAAAGGAGGGCCACCAAACTGGTGCCTGCACTTCGGCACCTCAGCTACCCTGAGAGATTGGAGCGCCTGAACTTGCCTAGCTTATACTACAGACGGGCAAGGGGGGACCTAGTTGAGGTGTATAAGCATCTCAGGGGCACTACTCAGGTGAGTGTCCTTACTTGGAGCTGGCGGACGCTCGCCCCCAAGGGGTCACAGCTCAAGATTGGAAGAAGCCGCAAGTCCAGAAAACTGTGAGGGCAAACTTTTTCGGAGTGAGGGTTAAACTCTTGGAACAATCTACCAGAGAGTGTTGTGACGGCACCGAGTGTGAGCTCTTTCAAGACCAGACTTGACCAACACTGGAGCAGGTTCAGGTACATTCAGGAGCCGGTGCATGCCCAGTACTTACCAACAGTGTGTGACAGAGACGTGACCGACCGACCAAGCGGCTAACGAGCCGATCAGTGGTGAAGAGGAGAAAAGAAAAAAGTAAGAGATTGACAGTATATCCGGGTGTCTTGCTGTGTCATAAGGAGATGGTCCCACAGCTGATGCATATCATTATTATTAATTTAATGCCAACTGAAAAATATATTATATAAAGAGTAAACAAAATAATTGAGATTCATGGTATGTGTAAATGGTGTACTGTATAAACGTCTGTTAAGGCCACTTACTGTAGTACCTTGATGTGTAATCTATGTTAATTATAATAAACTAACAAATATAAAGAAATCCAAGGTTAAAATATCTACGGTATTCGAAGATCAAGTTCGGTCAAATAAAAATGGTAAAAGTAGAAGTATTTTTCTTGGACTGGAGGTGGTGGGGTGGTAGGGTGGGGTGGGGTCGGGTAGTGGGGTGGGTTGTGGGGGGGGGGGTAAATATTATTGGAACTGGTGGTAAACAAGACAAGAGTGGGACCTTATTAACACGTTATATCCTGCCTGTGTTACCTCACCTGTGGAGGAGGGACAGCTGTGTGTGGTAGAGACATAACCTGTGTGTGAGGTAAGTGATGGTATGGGTTTACTGCTTCACGTTAATGTAGCTAAATTAACTAAGTGGTGTGAGATAATGTGGTGTATCAATGTTGTAGTGTAAAGTGACTCGCTATACCTCCTTGTTCCTCTTCTTCACACAGAGGTCCTCATTGGTTGATGGGGACAATTACAACTAGTGTACTGTAGTTGCTGAGCACAAGGTAAATCGTGCACAAGAAAAGCAAATCATGACAAACAAGTCCTTCTAATTTCTTAAAAAAAAATGTCAGTCTTCTGCCAAGCTTACAGGAGTAAATTTAGTCATTAATATACTGTTTAAGTTAGACGACTGCAGACGTATTAACAATGTTTTTATTTTATATTTTCGTCTTTAATAAATTGTCTTGGTGTCTTTTATTATTTTCTATCTCAAGCAACAGTTAATTTGGTGTATATATTGATAGGAATGAACGGGGTGACGAAACGGGTAGAGCAGTGGTGACGAAATGGGCAGACCCCAGTGAGACTGGTCAATGAAATTACTCAGGCTGCTTCCTTTGAAAATATCAAATGTGATTGGTCGAAAAAAATTGTGTCATGATATCGATACATCATTGGTCACGACTGGATGGCTCAGTCAATATTGAGCATGTGTGATGGCGACACTTGTGACTGACCGAATTTAATAAGATTGAAAAATTAATATCTCGATTAGCCTTAATTTCCGGCTGAAGTATCATAGAAGAAAAGTGTCTTAGAATTGTCTAAACATAACGGAATGCGTATTAATAACAGCGAGAGAAAGACCGGTGCTTAAAAAAAAATTCACCTGTATTTGTCTCCCCAGATAAGACTCAATACTCAGTCAAGTGGTGACAACTACTAAATATTAACCCAGGTTCTATTAGGTTCTAGTAAATGTCGCCTCTTTTATAACGACGAGTTTCCATCCACAACAGAAATATGGTTAGGTATGTTTACTGCTAGACAACGATCGACTCACGGCAAAGTAAATGCCGCCAGTCACTGTCGAATATAGTTCTCGCGTTATTTGCCGGTAATGGACGATGGACAGCTCACTAACCTAAGGATAAAATAGCATTAGTAGGAATTAACCCGTCATGGCAAAATATCCACTGCCTATTTTAAGAGACGACATTTTATTTTGTTAAGATTCGTTTTAATGTCCCGCCAGGTTCTGTAGAAAGAGTTAATATTTTGGTTTTTGGACTGTAGGTTAGGTTAGGTTAGGTATAGGT